ATGTCATGCTGATGCGGTGATGCCGGCGATGACGTTCGTCAGTAGCGTGGTGAGTGATGTCATGCTGATGCGGTGATGCCGGCGATGACGTTCGTCAGTAGCGTGGTGAGTGATGTCATGCTGATGCGGTGATGCCGGCGATGACGTTCGTCAGTAGCGTGGTGAGTGATGCCATGCTGATGCGGTGATGCCGGCGATGACGTTCGTCAGTAGCGTGGTGAGTGTGTCATGCTGATGCGGTGATGCCGGCGATGACGTTCGTCAGTAGCGTGGTGAGTGATGCCATGCTGATGCGGTGATGCCGGCGATGACGTTCGTCAGCGTGGTGAGTGATGTCATGCTGATGCGGTGATGCCGGCGATGACGTTCGTCAGTAGCGTGGTGAGTGATGTCATGCTGATGCGGTGATGCCGGCGATGACGTTCGTCAGTAGCGTGGTGAGTGATGTCATGCTGATGCGGTGATGCCGGCGATGACGTTCGTCAGTAGCGTGGTGAGTGATGTCATGCTGATGAGGTGATGCCGGCGATGACGTTCGTCAGTAGCGTGGTGAGTGATGTCATGCTGATGCGGTGATGCCGGCGATGACGTTCGTCAGTAGCGTGGTGAGTGATGTCATGCTGATGCGGTGATGCCGGCGATGACGTTCGTCAGTAGCGTGGTGAGTGATGTCATGCTGTGCGGTGATGCCGGCGATGACGTTCGTCGCAGTAGCGTGGTGAGTGATGTCATGCTGATGCGGTGATGCCGGCGATGACGTTCGTCAGTAGCGTGGTGAGTGATGTCATGCTGATGCGGTGATGCCGGCGATGACGTTCGTCAGTAGCGTGGTGAGTGATGCCATGCTGATGCGGTGATGCCGGCGATGACGTTCGTCAGTAGCGTGGTGAGTGATGTCATTCTGATGCGGTGATGCCGGCGATGACGTTCGTCAGTAGCGTGGTGAGTGATGCCATGCTGATGCGGTGATGCCGGCGATGACGTTCGTCAGTAGCGTGGTGAGTGTGACAGGAGAGGCCTGGGACAGCCTTTCAAGGCGGTGTGTTCCTTGCAGGTGATCTGGCGTCACGTCATCTGGGGGCTAGGTCTCCAGATCTCGTTCGGCCTCGTTATCCTGCGATGGGAGGTGGGCAAGCAGACCTTCAAATGCATTGGAGACAAGGTGGACACCTTCTTGGGGTACACGAACGAAGGTAGCAAGTTTGTCTTCGGGTTTCTGGTCGATGGAGACTACTTCGTCTTTGCTTTCTCGGTAAGTTTGTTTTCTATATTTTTGTTTTTAATATGCTTAATGCTCTAATATTCCTCTTGAATATTGACCGACTGAGTCCCTTCCTCATATTCCGATATGAGTGACCAAGCGTATCAAACGGCCTCACACTGGTATGATACAGATACAAGGGAGTGGCATCAAACTGCAACGAATTAATTCGGCTCGTCCAAAAAAATGGAGCAATGTCTGGGCATTTTGCCTGTCCTGTGACGCTTCGCATCAAAACAGTGGTCACGGTCACTGTACATGCCCTAGTTCACTGGCATTTCAGTTCTCGCAGCCAAAGGAATGTGGGCTCCAGATCACTTGTCTGTTGTCTGTCGTCCTCTTGGCTGCAATGATCTACGGATGGTGGTTTGCTGAGGACTGACAACGCATCTGAGGGTCGTAATTCGTCGACCCCAAAGCAGCCAAAATCTATATCCGTTCTGCAAGAACTGCAGGTGTGGGTCCCGGGTCCCGGTGCCACGTGAATGGGCTCCTTAGCGCATCTGCACGATCCTCGCGTATGCCTTTCAATGTTTCGGAGCTCTAGTAACACCGACCTGTTCCGACTAATGCGCATTTGTTCGGCAGGTTCTGCCCGTCATCATCTTCTTCAGCCTTCGCCATCCAGATCCTGTACTACTACGGCATCATGCAGAGGATCATCGTCAAGCTGGGCTGGTTGCTGCAGGTGACCGTGGGTACCACGGCCTGCGAGTCGCTGAACGCAGCCGCCAACATCTTCGTCGGCCAGTCGGAGGCGCCGCTGCTGGTGAAGCCGTACCTGGAGCTGCTCACCGCAGTCGGAGCTGCACGCCATCATGACGGGCGGCTTCGCCACTATCGCCGGCTCGGTGCTGGCCGGCCTACGTGCGCTACGGCGTGTCCGCCTCGCACTGCTGTCGGCCAGCGTCATGTCGGCGCCGGCCAGCGCTAGCCGTCTCTAAGATCATCTACCCGGAGACGCAGCGCTCCCGCACTACGGTCGATGACATCAGCGTCGACAAGGGCGACGAGGTGAACGCGCTGGACGCGGCATCGCGCGGCGCCATGAGCGTCGTCAAGATCTGCGGCTACATCGCCGCCTCTCTCTCATCGCCTTCATCGCGTTCATCGCGTTCGTGAACGGCGTGCTCGGCTGGCTGGGGGAGCTGGTGGGCTTCGCGGCCTGGGCGGGGCGCGCCTCTGTCTTTCGAGTTCATCGTCTCGCGCGTGTTCCGGCCCGTCGCCTGGCTGATGGGCGCATCCTGGGAGGAGAGCGGCCACTTGGCGAGCTGATCGCCCTGAAGACCATCCTCAACGAGTTCGTGGCCTACTCGCGCTTGCGCGATATGGTAAAGAGGGCTTGCTGTCGGTACGCGGAACCGTCATCGCCACCCCTACGCGCTCTGCGGCTTCTCCAACCTGGGCGCCATGGGCATCCAGATCAGCGGCCTGAGCGCTATGGCGCCGTCGCGACGCTCCGACCTGGCGCGGCTGGCGTTCAGCGCCATGATGGCCGGCACGTGGCCTGCTTCCTGACCCGCGCTGCGTCGCAGGTGCGCTCATCAGCGACCCGTCCAGCGTCACGGCCGCCTTCGTCATCGCGGCCGAGAACGCCACCGCCCTGCCGGCGCTGGCCGAGAACGCCACCGTGCTCGCCGAGAACGTCACCGCGCTGGCGACCACGGCCGCCGCGCTGACCTAGGGGAGCCGCCGCGTACGGGACTGAGGCGGCGCCGCCGCGCGCGCGCCTCCGTGGGGGCAGCTTCTTAACTGCAGGGACGGGGCGGGGTGGGCGGGTTCTGTGCGGGCGGGACAGGGTGCATTTATCCGTGTGAGCCGGTGTAACAATTCTGCCTGGTGCGGAAGATTTAGACACTTCCTGGTGGCTCAGGTGCATTCCACCTGCATATTACCCTTATATCGACGATCAACGTGAGCTCTATTTTTAGCACTTGATATTCTGACTGTGAAACCACCTGGCTGTACAACTATCGTGTTTGGTACCGTGAGTAGATAGCTTAGCAGACCTAGTCTAGCGTAGCGATTTCTAGGTCTTATTTTGTAGCGACCGTTAATGACGCGCCAGTTCACATGCCTCGTGGTGCGCTGCAGCCCATGCGCATGACGATGCATTCCGGCCAGTGTCACACCACGCCAAGGGGCTCCGGCCGCTTCGAGTCGACACGCCCAGCGATGACGCTTCGAGAGACACACACGCCCTTCGAGTCGACACTCACTCCTCGATGACGCCCGGGCAGCTGGGACGGCTGAGGCGCCGTCACGATCGCTGTGCTGGGGCGTGCAGATGCATTCCTGGGCCACTCCGATTCTGGAGCAGCGTCCAATGGCCGTGTGCCGGCACGTTGGTGATTTTCATTGTATGTGACATATCGTGGCCGTCCATGTGAGGAATACTGAAGTATGCATACACTTTGTGATTAAACGCTTGTTTGAGTTTTGCAGTCGGAACGTGGGTCAGGGTAGCCTCGGCAGAGCGAGATATCTCTCCGTGGGGTCGTTTCCACATATTTTGCACTCGGTGTGAGCCCAGAATCCCAGTCACGAGCACCTGATCTGCACCGTGCTCAGGTGCTGGTCACTGGGACGGATGTGTGGCGGGGTGGGCGGACGCTCGCCGGTCAGGGGCAGCGCCGTCCCGTCTGGCTGAATAGCAGAGTGGGTGCGGACGCAC